AGAGACATTGAATTACCGTTTGTTTCTCAAAGAGCAGTCCAAAAATTTTCATCAATTCTACAAAAATATCAAAGCTGCTTTCGTCTTCCTCTAATTCATGTTTCCACAGATGACGTAGCAATGTCTCACTCAAAATGCCTTTATCAAGCAGATGCCATAACCTCATCATTGCAGGTCTCTAAATCAAAATAAAATTTAAAAAAAAACATATTTATTAATAAAAATGTTTAAGGGTTTTCAAAATACCATCTTTACTTTAATTTTTAAGCACATTCAGCATTTCTTCTAGAACAGGTTAGGTGTGTAATTCAAAAATGGATGGTCATTAATGTACTCTAATTAAAAATGGATTTGGTATACTATGGTCTATCCCGCACGCCAGTTTACTTGATTGTTAATAGTACCTTATCTTCCGTTGTGATTACTTTCGTGAAGATTTCAATCAACATGTAAACGTTAGTAATCACAGTGTTCTTCAACTTGATGTTAGTTGGCCAGTACATAATGATTCCGCAATCATTTAAATAGTTGAGAATGTGGATGGTGTTTTCGTTCGGAATCCCACAATCAACAGCAATCTGAGTGACCTAAAAGATTATTGAATAAAATATTAGAAACATTCTGATAGTAATTGTCTATAAATATAAATATAACCAACATAAAAATATTCATGACAGTGAAATGTTATAACAGCTAACCCTGATATGGAAATAATAAATTATAATAAATAATAATAACAAAATTAATAATAATAATAATATTCATGACAGTGAAATGTTATAACAGCTAACCCTGATATGGAAATAATAAATTATAATAAATAATAATAACAAAATTAATAATAATAATAATAATAATAATAATAATTATAATAATAATAATAATTACATTTATTATAATTAATTTTAAAGTAGTTTTCCACAATCTTACAGAATGTTTATGATACTGAGGAAATTTCGAAAAAATAGGACAAAATGGTACCTCGTCTAAGGACATGCGCAGTGTTGTTTTCCCAACTTCTTGGATTTTCGACTGGAAATCAACCCATTTTGTGGGAACTGTTTTTGCCATTTGCTTTGTGTAACCTCCGAGATTTTTCTTTAATTCTTCAATCCCTTTGTCATTTGCTGATGTATTATCTACAGCATACATCGTTCTGTCTACGTGAATTTCGAATGGCATCCCGTTGATTTCTTCAAATATTATTTTGAATATTGCTTCAATCTTTGAATACAATTAAATACTACAATTTCATATAATTTCATTTTACCTGTGTTTTCATACATTGAAATTTACAAAAACAACAAAGGTGAAGCACATTAGGGCATCCAAAATTGGAATTCAATGACTTAGAGTGGGGAACTTCCTAACAACGGATTACCTATAGCCCATTTTCTGTTCTGTTGACTTTGTAGTGCAGAATTCTGGAAGGCAGGGTATTATCTGTAGAAAACGGTGGGTGGGGTGTAAACATTGTCCTGACAGGTGTGGAGTTGATGCTAACCTTCCAATCTCAAGGTCATTGTTTAAATCCTGTAAGATCCCAGGATATTTCACTCAAGATTAAAAACTCTATAAGTCTCAGTATGAGTTTATGTAGATCACCATGTGTTTGTTTGTTATGTGAAGGCATTCCTACCTATTTAATAGGACAGTGATTTGGTCGCTATGGGGAAATAAAATAAATTTTAAGGGTGGGTGATATCATTGGTAAATTTTAAATGAAATAAAGTGGATTTTAAATATGGATATGGGGGTAAATAAATATTTACTTATGGGTAGACGGCCATAAAAATAGCTTCAGACTGGGAGGAAACTTCAAGCCCAGGTGGTCCCACCTACCGCCGTAAATCATAACTATGTTCCATCTAAGACGTCGTGTTGACTCGTCCGGTAAAGATACTTAACGGACGGGTCGGCATAGGTGAAAGTCTATTCTTGTCTGTTGGAAAATTGGGACTGAATGCTCCAGGCAGTGTCGATTTTCCGGTGGAATAGGAGAAGGCTTTTTCAACCTGCCTCTGTTTAATGATGCTCCGTTATCTTAGTGTCTTGCTGGGTGAAGTAACATATGGTTTTTTTTTCTTTTCTTCTCGTGATGTTATGTAATTGGGGTTTGATGTATTATGTTATGTTGGAAATATGAATTTAAAAAAAATCATAACAATAACTATATTTCAGTGATGGAGATCATCCTGAACATTTCAAGTGCGTTCAAGATTTTGTTTTTGGGGTGTTTTTTTTTAAGTTTTTCTGCTAATTTAGAATTTTGTCATCATTATCACCACCACCACCATCGTCATTGTCGTCATAATCGTCATCGCCATATTCAAAAAAACAAATGCTTGCAAAAGAATATGTTAATAAATTATATATTTAAAAATATAGAGTTAAATAACTACAATACAGTATTAGTATTATCAGGGCCACTGATATAGACAAGGGAAATATTTGTTAATACTTTGTTTACGTAGATTTACGTAAAATTATCACTTTTTGTATTAACAGTTTTTTTTTAATTATTATTTTTACATTACACAAAATTGGAGTATACTATGTCTAAACTACTAATATGTCTAAAACTGTTATGCAATATCTTACCTGATCCTGTTTATCCTCCTCACTTCCCTCTAACTTGTCTTTGTGAGTGCCAACCAAACTGATTGTGGGTGAGGCTATAGTGTCATTTATCAATTTCGTACTTGCATTATATTGTAGTACAGCGTGCTCATATATTGACCGTATCCAGAAAATAATCATTTGGAGATTAGTCATTTCAAACTGATTCTAATAAAAGGAAGAAAGTAATAAAGGAGAGTAAAAAGAAAGAACAAAATGAGTGTCATAGATAAGATTATGAAATTACAAAGTTACTCACAAACTATCTATACAAAATATAGAACATAGTTAATATACAAAAAACAGATCTGATATGCAATAAGTTAATGGAAAATAATTCTCTTTATTGCATAGTAGAAAAGGTGAAATGATTTATTTACTTTTAGTGGACCTCTGGATTTTGCCAATTCATTTAAAGGCTCAAACAAACTAAAAGCAACGACATATGACGATCCATCTGTCAAGAAAAACTGGAAAGGAAAAAATAAGTAAGTAAACACATTATCGATTAATGAAAAAATATTAAACATAAAGTAACATTAAACATCACCTAAATGTCAACTGAACATTAAAATAAAATTAAATTATCAACGCTTACTTTATTTTGAAAGTTTTTGGTTTAAGTGCGTAAACTATATTAAATGTTGTTGAGTAAATATGCGCCGTTATCACAACTATTATCAACCCTATCGCTATTGTATTATCAATAATTTTAAGGACACATATGAAAGTAATGATATGGGTTATCCTTGGCTTTGTTCGTTCTATGATTAAATATTCTTCTCGGTTTGTAAGTTTCTATGACATTAAAGTATTTCCTTTTGTTTAATAATTTACTTATCTAAATAATATTTTCCCATTTACTCTTCATTGTAGATTTATGTGTTTATTATTTTAAATCATGTTGATGTGAATAAGAAATGTTGCTGTATTTATATTTTTAAAAGTATTTTTGCTGCTTCATTGTAGTAGTGCACCAACATTAATATATTTAAACACCCACGAACTCTCGACTGAACACTACGTGAGTGGCTGTAGACCTCTAATGCTCTGTCCACACTATCACCTTTTCTGTGACAAAAATCTGTTGTATGCCCATATATAGTCATGATATGCCTATATATGGTCATGATGTAACGTCATCAAGACCATATTTAGGCATGTCACATGTTTTTGTCAAATAAAATTTGATAGTCTGGACAGGGCTTTATAATAATTGGCTTTAAACTTTAATAGAAATATAATTCAAGCACCTCCAGAACTATCAAAATATTGAACAGTACGTGATTGGCTATAGGCTTATAGTTTTCAGACGACCAGTTTTTCTTTATTAGTAATTCATCGCGTTTATTATAACATCATATGTGAAAGAAAAATCTATTTCTGATACAGATAATCTAATGTCCAGTGACAATTACAATAATAATATTAGAATGTAGCCTTGTATACTATATCAGTAAAGTGCTATGCTGCTTACCCTATGAGTTATATAATATGAGATTTGGCCTGCATAATCCCATATACATGTTACATCACTCGGTACATTTTCAACAACACGTACAAAGCCTGCGTTTTTGTTAGTAGCCTTTTTTCTCTTTATTTTTATGAAGAATCGTTTCAAACGGCCGGGTTTTGGTTCTTTTATGCTGCTTGGTTCAAGATTCTGCCGGTCAAGATTAGCAACAACCTTTTTAAAAATTTCTTCTGGGAGTCTATCGAAATGTCTAGTCGATACATTTGCAGCTCTCTGAGACACATCAGAAGTTTCTGAAAAAAAAGGAAATAAAATTCGAACTCATATATTCTGAGAGACGAAGCCAAAAAGAGATGGTCTGGAGTCAAGATGGGTGACGGTGATGACAATGGAATACAATACTAAATTAATTAGGATAATGTAATAATAAAAATGATTATGATGATGATATTAATTGAAATTTACGAGGAAAGGCAAAAAAGGTAAGATAAACATTGAGCAATATTATTATGTTACTGTTTAAAATGTACTGTACGGTATGTGGAATTCTAAAACCTAGAATTATCGACAGGAGGATGAAAGGGGCACGTGAAAATCTGAGTGGGGATGGGGCTCAATTATCAAGTAAGTGCGAATACGATGGCAAAATTATGGAATGAGGGGAGGGAGGAAAAGAAAAATTACAATTAGTACAAATATAATGAGCTTTTACATGCCTTTGAAATCCCTAAACTTTCCCGGTAGCTTTTCACTGTATCCCTTTTGAGCAATGCCTGACCACCTTATTACGCTCTTGTCAGAGAAATGCTTAAGTTTATTTAGCTGCCATTAGAAAATAGACAAAAGGCTTAGCGGGAAAAACTATCGACTGCCCAATTCCCCTGAAATGATATAAGGGAAGTGATGAACAGTTATCTTAAATAATAAATACCTCTTTCCTCTGAAGTTAGACTTGTAGCTTCTTCTGATGTTTCCTGCAATAAAATAGTTTGTAAATCTTATTATCATATAAATAACAAAATATCAACGCTACAAAACACCGTAAAACGGCTAGGTGACGAATCAAAAATAAAGGGGTCAATGTCAGAGGAACGTTTTAGAAAGTGGGGGAGGGGGTAATCAATCCAGTATGCGAGCAAAGCGAGCATCTGGGCCGGTGGAGTAAAGAGGAGAAGCATATTGGAAGCTACGAATATAAGATCAATTTTTATGAATTTTATTACTTATTGTAAAGGCATCAAATTATTGTAATATGAATTCATAATTGTCTAATATCAAAGTCGAGACTGCTTCTACGATCACAATGAATTCTTCCAAGCATTATGATTGTATCCTTAATAAGAATTAAAACAAATAGCTCAATGAGGATGCTACCTAAACGAAGTTTAGACCTAATACTAAATATATTATTCCACGACGAAACCTTCTCCTGTTAGACGACGGGACCCGTAAAAATAAGTTAAAAAATACCTTTTTGAAGTCCAGAAATAGTACTTTAATATTATACGTTTAACATAATCTATCATTTGTTTTACTTATTACTATCTCTTAATGCCAAGCTATTAGCATTTTTATGCAATACAGTTTTTACAATATATAACACATTTTAATTACAATTTGTACTATAAAAACTGCAGTTAACCTTTAAAGAACATTATATTTATAAATGGCCTAATTAATTCAATTCAATTCAATTCAATTAACATTTATTCAATTAATTAATAAATACATCAAATGATAAATAAAATGGACAACATTAAAATTAATTAATTAGGATAAAAAATAGAAGCGAAGCTTGTCTCAATTTGACCCCGACAAAACAAAAAGTAAAAACTAATAATAAACGCATATCAGGTAGACCTACATTTTATATACCACTTAGTAATATCTCTTTGTTTTTGGTTTATATAAAATTTGATAGCCTGGACATGGTTTTATACTTAACATAATGAGAACTAGAGCATTCCAAAGAGAGTGCCTATCTACGCCCTGTGCCCATGTAGTCTTTACGCAAGGAGGGAGATTTCGATCCATAATTGTTTTCTTTACGCTCGAGATGAGTACATTTAGGCCTAAAGGAAACATTACAGACGCACGCGCTTTACAATTTACAGAATAATTATTATTATTGAAAAAAATATATTTTTAACTTATTTGATAATGAGATTAACCATTTTATGCACTCTGTATTTATAACATCGTCATTCATCCCACGGACCATTACTTCATGTGATAGAATTTAGCGCTACACAAGTTACTTCGATTGATCGATTGATTGATTGATTGATTGATTGATTGATTGATTGATTTACAGACGCCAATCAGCATGTGTACACACTCGTTGCTAAACTCGAAATTAAAAACCTTTGATATACGTTTGAACATGAGCAAAAGAATCCACAATATTTTGAATAATAATGACATTGTATAGCGTTAGTTAACTATGTTTATAACTGGTGATGGGTTTGGTCCAAGAGTAGGAAAATGAAGGGCCAACTCCACCTCCTCCCCCGTTTCCAGTTTCCGTCACCGTTGAAGGGGGGGGGGGGTACACTCTTAGAGAGTTTTGCAGATAGAGTTCCGCTTCTATCAGGCTCATTATGTTTGGGGCTCAGGAAAGGAATTATGACATTCGTACTGTATGACACAGGGATGGCTCCGGTGGAGAAGGGGAAGGAGGTATATTATGTCGAGGAGAAAAAAAAATTGTCATGAAAAAAAATGATAAAACCCATGGGACATCGGATCGTTATATAAAAAAAATATACTCTGCCTCCCCACTGCGAAAATGGCACTTTGGCTGACAAAAGTTTTGGAAATTTAAACACATATAATTTAATATAAAGCACATCAGGTATAAATGTAAATTATTGTGAAATGTGAAAATTACGAAAAAAAAAAAAAAGTTTATCATTCTACCATTGGAGATGCTGTAGAACTGGGTGATACGGACATAGATGTGGTTTCCTGGCTTTCTGGTGGTTCCAGCTTCCTTGCAATACGTTCTGCTATATTATACTCTCGTATTTGCTTGGTTAATTCACACACTGTACAATAATCAATTAATTATTATCTTAAGTATATTGACTTTTTATCACTTCATTTGTGATCACGTATATTTGATAATTACATGGTTTCTCCCTGTTGGGAACATGCAATGCATTTGGCATATTTACTGTTAAATTAAAAACGTTTATTAGTACATACCTATTTATAGTTTATATACGTAAGGCCTACGTATATTTTGCACCAGAATTAATATAAACACCTCCCTTCAATAAATACCCCAGGGCGTTTATTTAAGTATTTACGGTAATTCTATTATCCATACCGTCTACATCCTTATGTTCCTCCCACTTGTTGCAGTCTTCACCAGTTTGAAATACCGTTGTTGTTACAATACCACATGTTGATGGTTCATTTTCATCGAATCTATTGCGGTTAAAGAAATAAGAAAAATAATGGTAATAATGATAAAGAGTAGTTATAATAAAAAAAATTAATGTTAAATAATAATAAAATAATAATAAAAATAGTAACAGTAATAGTAATAATAATAATAATAATAATAATAATAATAATAATAATAATGATGATGACGACGACGACGACGATGATGATGATAATAATAATAATAAATAATAATAATAGGCCTAATAACAGTAATAATAACGAGTTACGTTCCATAATAATTACATACAAGAAATAAAACAGCTTAAGATAATTTTATATTATTAATTAGTAATAAACGTTTCGATATGTTTGAAAAATTACATTACAATTTCTACTCGTAGTAGGCTAAGTATGAGCAAAGATATCCTTGCTTTGAGGCTTATTATGACCTAATTTAATTTGACCTTCGTTGCTCTAGCAACACGCTCTTTACCTAATATTTTAACAAACGAGCGTACAATACGCACACACAAGTGTTGAAATAGAGTAATTTAAAATAGCTTTAATTAGTCAGCTTCCTTTCATTAACGTTAAGATATATATAGGTCCACACCAAGCTATCTTTTCTTTTGAAATAGAAATAAAATCAGGCTTCAATTTCACTTACTGTTTTCCAAGGATGGAATTTACAAGGCTGGTTTTACCAGCACCTTCCTTTCCCAGAAACATCACTCTGCTATTTACCAACGTCATTTCACCTTTTTCAATTTCATTCAAGAATGCATTAACTGCATCTTTTCCTCTGGCTTTAATTTGTGCAGGAAGTGTCATGCCTTTAAACAAAAAAACGTTTGTTTCAAATACTGGTATATTACATTATTTTAACTTTGAAAATAAAATTAAATTTCTTTTAAATATTAACGCTAAATAGCATTGTCACAAAATATAGATAAAAACAAATATTAGAAAAACGCCAATGTGTATGTAGCCTATTTAAAAATCAAAATAAACTATAGACCGCAGAAAGATGACTAAATCCTGATATAGGCCTATACAATGGGTTCATTCAACTTACCTAAAAGTAACTTTTTCAGTTCGTCTTTCTTCTCTCTTATAATTGATCGACTGCCGTCATATAAAATACATTTATTCTTATCATACAAATCAAGAGGCGTCTTTCCTTCCTGCAATAACAGACACGAGTACACAAAAGTTGTATTTCATTCAATGACAGTTTCAAATTGAATATGATGAAAATAATTATTAAATATTCCAATTAGTGTAAAGAATCCAAATCAAAATTAATAAATATATTTTAATTTTATAATAATATTCATAAAATATAACAAAATAATTTTTTTTCAATGTATGCAGCAACACTATTAGCATCAAGATAATTTTACGACAATTCGTTGTCACCAAATTTATCGGTACCAAATAATTGAAAAAAAGGAATATTTTTAGAACATTACTTATTTGATTTTTTTTAAGATTTGATATTTCTCATGTTTGTTTTAAACACATGAAATGTTTCTAGTAGTAGTGCCGTCTGATATACAGTTGTTTTATTAAAGCCATTGACTGGTATCCGTTTGATGATGCATTCTTATTTGTATTATGTACATTACGTTGTCTTTTATTAATAACGCGCCATGTTCTACGAGGCAAATTGCCGTTTCGCGGTGTTCTTCATAACGGCGGTACTCATTATCTAGACAGAGATGTAGTGGTGTGCATCCGTCCTGCAATGAAAGGATAACCAATGTCACGTTTTGTTGTACACGCAAAACACGAGATTATATGAATTTACAAATAATACGTCGACGTAAAACAACTGAAATAATTCATATTTATCGTACTTAATTATTTCACATTGTAATCATTATAAACATGATAATGATAATATAAAATAGAATATTAACTAAACAAATTATGATGATGATATTATTTATAGTAATAGCAATGATAATGAAAATGTTTGTAAATTCATTTCAATAATCATATGATATTTTATGATGACTGTTATAGCCTACTGAACGGAACATTATTATTTTTCAGTCAGCTTTATATAAATCATGCGCATTATAAAATATACAACAATATTAATAAATAGAATGTGATGACAAAATATATTGTGAATTCAATGATTTTAATTTGCTTACAATTAATAAAAGTGTTATTTTATTACACTGTACTTACGTTGCCTCTCCAATTAACTCTGGTGTTTGATTTTTGCAGCACACGTCTTAATGCTGGTACACGTGCGTAAATCGCCAAGTGATGAAGAATAGTTCCAAGCACCTACAAGTGAAACGTAGAAAATTATAACAAAAGAAAACAAACTACAACAAGAAACTATGACACCACATATCAACAAAACAAACGTTTCAGTTAATTATTACATTTGTTATTATTAGATACTAATTACATTATTTAATATTTATTAAATGATGTTTATAATGTAAAATCGTGCAAAAAGTCAAAAAGCCTACGTTTTACACTATATTCAAATATTCTTTCAAATTCACATTTTTAGCGATTGTAAAATATCAATTTCATTGTCAATAATATATTTAGTAAAATGTATTGATAAAAACAAATCCAAACATAATTACTTTATCTGATTATAAAATATATTTTTTATAAGTTTTTATTGAGAAAATAGTGTTTATGCCCATAATATAGACTTTTTGTGTTGTAAAAAAAAAATCAGATAAATTTAATAGTAAAATCCTAAATTTTAGTTTTAAAGAAAATATAACACAGTAATCTACTTTGAGTCATTATTAGATACTAATTACATAATTAAATATTTTTAGATGATGTTTATAACGTAGAATTGGGCAAACAATGTTTGAAGGCCTATGTTTTACATTATTATTATATTACATTAATATAAATTCACATTTTTAGTGATTGAACTTTTTTGTAAAATATTAATTTTATTGTCATTAGTGTATCTAGTTAACCATACTGATAAAAACAAATCCAAACATAACTACGTTCTCTCATTTTAATTTTTTTTAAGTTTTTAATTTAAAAGGCCTGTTTAACACTTAGGCTTATTAAATTATCATTTCGAACTCACATATTTTTAGCGAATGAACTTTTTGTGTAAAAAATTTTATTGTCATTAATATATTTATTTAACCATAATGATACAAACAAAGGCACAACATAGGCCTAAGCTTTTTACAGTTAAAAATTTTGGGTTTTTTAAAAGTTTTATTGAGAAAATACTGATCATGTAACATAGGGTTTTTAGAGTTTAAAAAAAATTAATATAAATCAAATAATAAATCATAATTTATAGTTTTAAATGAAATAAATCACTTTAATCTACATTGAGTTGATGTTCACTTGTTTGTTGCATGATTTGTATACATGATATGTGTTTTGTATTGTTTGTATAAAATGTAATGATATTTAATTTCACTCACCTTTTTGTCCTCATGTTCAATGGTTTTTTTTGTTGCTTCGTCAATTAATATCTCCAACACGTTGTCTGGTGCATACAACACAGCGGGCATTAATGGCGTAAAGCCGGCCTACGAAGACAATCATTAAACTGAATACACACTACACGATTATAACAACTTACTACAACAAAATACACATACATTACAAACACGATTTAACAACAACATAATCACATCAAAAAAAAAAAAAAAAAAAAAAAAAAAAAAAATTCAAAATAGGCAATATAGCCTTAAAAACTCATACCTCAGCCCCAAAACACCATAACAAAAACCAGAAATCATGGTGGAGGTGGCCTGGACCCTTCTTCTGTCAAAACCCGTCCCTGAATCCCTTCATTTTTTGTGGATACAATATTTATATTTATATTATTAGATTATAGTATAAGTAAATTTAGGTCATACGCTATGATAATTATAGAATTAATAAAATATTTGAATTTATAATGGTTTAAACCTAGTGTACGCCATCTACAGAATTAAATTCAAAATTCCCTTTATCTCCCACTTTATTTCACTTTAATTTAAAGTAGGTATTAAATTAATTATGAATAGTTAGGGTAATCAAAACAGGAGGAAGTGATACAGTATTTACGTTTAACAGTATCTGGCGGTCACGTGTTCTTTAATAGAGCAGTTGGCGTAACACTCATGGTACAAAGCTATCGGTACACTGTATTTCTAAACTTGTAATAAACTATAGAGGGCGCCAGATCATTTTTTAACCTATCAGGGAATTATTGCAGTAGTATTAGGCCTACTATAGAGGGCGCCAGATCAATTTTATACTTATCAGGGAAATTAGCGACAGCGTTTCAATAATACAGTACAATACACTGTACTTGCAGTAGTAATTACTATTTCTTCAAAGTTTTCCTTTTTTTTCTGACATTAGGCTTCCGTCAATTCGTTTCCATATCATTCATCTTTAAAAAAAAATCATTTTTTTTTAAATATCTTTTATTTTGACGTCACCATCTTAATCTTTCTTAATTTGGTGATTAACATCGTACGAATGGATTGCCATATTCATTCAATCTAATCAAAATACTGATTGGTTTTGGGTTTTCTATCTGGTCGCTCCAGTAGATTATAAGCCTACATATATTGACTGATCTGTTTGACAAGACTTTGACGACTACCACATAAATTATCGTACTTCGTTCCTCTTGTTTCGTTACGTTTTACAGTATAACATTTTTAATGCAATATATCTATGCTCTCATTTTGTTCAGTACCTAGAGTTCACCATATAAAAATATATACTTACATACGCGCTGAATAACCGGTATTTGAATTATGTGGACTTGAAAATGAAAAATATGAAATATTTCTATTTATGATATTGTAATTTACTGTTATGTAAAGGTGTACAACTAGCACGCGTCGAACAACAGGCATTTTAATTATGTGGACACATTTCTATTGTAATAATATTATAATACTATCTATGATGGTAAGTCACTCTTATATAAAAACCAATTATGTATCCGGCATAAAAATTACTGTTTATGAACTTTAAATTTAATATTGATAATAGTTCTAAGAAATAAGCAGTCCCTACACAAATCCAATACTGTGTATGCAATTAGGCTATATCTAAATAGGCCAATTTATGAACTTTTTAAACTAAAGGTTTATTGAAGGTCAATTGTTATATTACCGTATTATTTTCCTATATCCAATATCCATTGAGAACACTTATAAGTAAAAGTTTAACGCGAGTGAATTGTGAACAATTTTTGGTGAGTTTGAACATAATTTTAATAAACTAATATTTTGTCGAGTTCGAGTTTTCGATAATTCATCAACATTATCTCAACAAGTGTGGTTCCTCTGAGTACGTACCTTATCGTAAGTATTAACCAATTGTGGTTCAGTTTGCAAAAATCTTATAACTGCTTCCCAGTTGTATGACTCTATAGCCTGTACTAACTTGTTTCTGTAAATATAATCAACATTCATCATTGATTGTTTGGTTTACTTTGGGTTGTTGTTGTTGTTATTATTATTATTATTATTATTATTATTATATTATTGTTATTATTATTATTATCATCATCATCATCATCGTTGGTTATCATTCATAATCGTTAACATAATCTTAACTCATGAATAGATTTGAAATAATTGTGTCATGGTTCGGAATCCCGAGATTAATTTACCGTAGTTATTTGAATAATCGCCACTGAGTATTAATTGATCTTTTTTTTTTTTTTGAAACATAGAATAATGTTAACAAAATAAAAATGTTTGTCACTTCCATACAACTATATGCTTCCATTATTGCCCAGTTAAAAATAATTTGTTAATTTGAAATATCGCTTGGGCCCTGGAAAAACAGTGGCATCCACAATGTAGCGCCAATTGACCACATAATAACGGATACATTGTCCACTATCCCGTCTAATTCTCATTCGAGGAGCAGTGATCTGACTCCAATTAGAACCAGATGTTTGCCGGATTTGAACCGGGGTCTAAAGTGCAAGAAGCAGAAATATTACCTATTATTTTCAGTCACTGATGTAATTAACATGGTGTTCATTAACAGCATAATTACGTAAAGCGCATCCAGGAGTACATGCGTCTGTGGGGGAAGGGTGGGCATAGGTATACGAAACAAAAAACCCACCACAAATCGTGGGACAAAAAAAAGTGATTTCTGCATTTAGTGGGCGACTAAAATCACATAACATGAACGTATAATATGTGTATCTATTATTAATTATTAATCACTTAGACGTTCATACTCACTGTTCTTTAGGCAGATACTCCATGGTGTTCAATGAGAGCTCCGTGTATAGTAATGAATGGTGAAATAATGAAACGATGTGAGGTATGCACTCTTTAATAAACTGTAAAACAGATATTCATAAACACGAAGTATATGATTGGCTAGTCCCGTCACGTGATTCGGGTTATTCTTTAACTTGTTATATCACAAATTAGAGCAAAGTCTATAAGCTATAGCAATAATTACTGTAACTGTTTAAAGATGGTATGACCTCGATGTCCTACAATAATCTGAGGATTAGGAACAGGATTTTACAAGCCGATTCTACATAAGTGATCAATTTCGGCATGGAGGTATATATGCCTCCATGTTTTCGGTGACTATACTGGTGACAGCACCAGTCATCGATCATCTTGATAAAAATCCCCTAATCAGGTTTGGTGACAACATCAAGGGTGTTGTAAAAGAAACTGTTAATTGTTAGATCTATTAGGTGCAATGACAGTTAGAGAAGTCAGTATTTGACCTATTACGCTGTTTATCTCAGCTCCAAATTAATTTCAAAATGTGATAAGCTCTCTTACCCAAATATTATGTCCAAATATCGTCATTTCCAAAATGTGGCCATTGTACATCTCTTCTAAAGTTATATGATATTGCCAGCCAAAAGAATTACGTGCAAGTAACATAATTGTAAGTATAAATACTAAATAGAATAGAGTACGTCTGTAAAGGAAACAACTCCCTAGTCTGTACGATAAGTAAGCTGGAAATTATTTAAAAAAAATAATAAAATGAAAAAGACCGACAAGTAGCAAGTAAGCAAGAAGTTTTTAAAGGTTACGAGAAGATTTTACATTATTTCTTTTTTTTTCATCATTGTTTTGTGCACGTGGCACACAGTATCCATAGCAGAAAAGTGTTGGGGGAGGGGGTGCGCAGCCGATAAATAGAAAAAAGAAAATTGAACTCAACCGGAAGTCTCTGAGAGCTTCATTTCCCGTAGGTCGCAGAGATTGGACTAGGTCCCTGGGTTAAGCGAGCCCCTGCGGGCCTAAAGAAATTCTTAAAAACGTGATTTGTGTTGGTTTTATACAATGGCAATACAAATCATTATAAGTTATTATGTTTAAAGATGTTTATGTGGATGGGAGCTATTATGTAATTTGTTGAAATTAGGCCTACTTAGTTGTTCGACTCGGTGGCGTATCTAGAAGTCTTGTCTTGAACCATGGAGGACGCTGATGGGGACGCGAAGGTGAAGTGGGAGGGGGATCGACGATCAGTTGAGGCGCTAATTCGCAAAAAATGATTTTATGATTTCTTTCAGTTGGTAGGGAAGGACGA